ACACACACACAGGAAGATGCACACCCATCCCAAATCTTAATACATATTTTGCCCCAGATACGGGTGTTGAAGCGCTGGTGTGTTGGGCCAATCAATAAGTCAGCCGAATGTCCTAATTGTTGTTCAGATGTAAGCTACTGAAATGCAAGGCGGCCCTTGTGGACTTAACGTTACTTGAGCTTTACACCGGTGTCTCGCTGTGGTTTTCTCAGCCGCTAAAATGTAGTATTTTCTCCTTGAGACTCATCTGCTAAGCCGATACATCATTATCAGTCATTAAAGGCTGAAGCTGGAGTCGCCCAATGAATTGTGTTTAATCATTTGATTTCTACTAGCAGGTGGTGTTCAGCCCCGTAGAGGAAAGAATTTGATTGCATCGATGTCCCCTGAGACAATCGGTCAATACACGAAGCAGCAATGAGCTCTCGAACTGTATTTTAACTGGAAATAATAAGATAACTAGACTCCGAGCCCAAACAACAGCACCCTGGTGAGAAACTGTCTTTGGATTGAACGTGGCAGCATCACGTTATTCAGTTCTCTTAACACGTCCACGGTGAAGCGGTTAAGTAACATGTTATCAAGGTAGGAATTGGATTAACGGTGCTTATGACTGGCACAGGTTTGAGGAAAGCAATTGTATTTGCTGGCTTCAAACTAAATCTGTAATGTAGAACTATGTGAGGCAACCCCTTCGATATAGCTTACGTCATTACCAGAGATTATCATATGCTGCTTTTGTAACAATAATGGTTTTACTTCAAACTAGTGACTGCAGAAACCTTATATAGACTTTAAAAAATCAGATTAGTCATTCAGAAAACCACAATTTGCAATTTCAGCTGTATCATGATTGTACTTTGGACTAAATTGATATAACGCCACGTCACCTTGTTATTATCTACCTAGACTTGTTTTCTCTTCCAGCATGTCTTCCACCCTGACCTCCACCATCCATTGGGAGACATATCACCTCCAGTTGTGTGTGTATGTGTGTGTGTGTGTGTGTGTGTGTGTGTGTGTGTGTGAGAATAACTGGTGATTATCTCAAGCAGCTGTAGTCAGTGTGTATAATCCTGGAGAGAACACTCTTACCCCTCCTACGCAGACAGACAAGAACACACACGCACACACACACACACACACATGCACACGCATACATATACATTTGTCCGTTTGCACACCCACATAAGCTCTCTTTGGTTTTGTTTTTTGGGTGAGGCAGCTGGCCAAGAACAATGAGCGGCCTGTTTAGCATTTCAAAGCTGCAGCTCTCTCCCACTCTCCCTCGTTCCCTATTTTCTCCCCTTTCCTCTCTGTATCCTCTTTCTCGTTTTTGCAAGTGCCGATGGGAGCAAAACGGACCAATTATACTCCTTGATTCCAAATTGAAACGGAAAGCAGACAAGACGAGAAGCAGCAGAAACCCCCCTCACATGATTTAAGAATACAGCGGAGTTTTGATGGATGGAGACACCACTGAGATGATCAATCTGTGGGCGGTCTGTTGGGTGTAGTCAGCGCGGTGGCCGGGCTGGGCAGCCGTGACCCTGCAGGCTGCACACCACTGTGATATCCAAAATCTCTCCACCCACATGGTGTCTGGTTAAAAAAAAAAAACCCACTGATACCTCGATGTCTTGATCTTTTGCTGAGCCAAAAGTCTAGCCGTGTCAGCGATGACATTCCTGCGACTGGATGTTCCAGTAATGTAGAGAAGTATCTCATCAGCCTTGCACACTCTGCTCTTTGCATGAGTGTGTGTGTGTACCTGCACACATTAACACTGCTGGTCCTTTGCTCCTCCGTTTTTTGTTGTCCAGGAATTTAGCAAATCACTTGATACATTCCTCAAAAAATGTCCCTTCGCTTTGCAGTCCAGTAAGTTACATTCCGTGCATTTTGTAGCCTAAAAGCGTTTAATGTGTTCAGCACACTAACGTGGTCTTTACCCGATTGAGTAAGTGCATTTGAAGTGATTGATAGTACTCGGCCTCTGTGTTTGAAGTCACAGTGTGTGTGGTATGTGTGATATCATTTAACTGCGACACACAAACGGTTAATACATGCTGTATAAAGGATTGTATGCGTTTCACAGAGGAATGTACACATCAACAGTTTGGCAGGTGCACATTCTGTGGCATTCAGAGTGATTCGACATCAATGGTGTGAAAATTATCCCTCATGTAGTAATAAATGTATGAATAATGTTACCGCTACCGCTGATAGTATCTCGTAGATTAACAAAGCAAATTATTCCCCGTATAGTACCTGGAAAGTGGGTAGCTCGTGTAAGAGCTACCCACCTAGTAATAAGCTCCAAAGGGAAAAACATGCACCTTTACAATTAATGGTCCTCTGTATAAAGTGTTCCCTTGTTCTGATTGTAGAGTATCTGACTTTGAGTTGCTGCAAATGGTTTTAAGAGATCCTATCATATCAGACGGGTGTCGATCTCAAGGTAGTTTTTTGAACACCACGTAATACTTGTTTGCCATATATCTTGGAGAGTTGGGCACACTGTATGCATACCAGCAAGTCTTCTACTTCTAGGAGCAAAAGATTTATGGGCTCAAATAAGGCCCAATAAAACGTTGAGCTCGTGAAATGATGTGCAAAGCATGCGACTGTGCATCAGCCTGGTAAACCTCCGAAAAAGTTTGCACACGTGTAGAAAAGATTTGTAGTCGGTATTATCTCAAATGCATTTTGCTTCAGGAAAATACACCCACTTTTGACTACCAATACATGTTGATAAGTTGGCAGTGAATGTTTGGTCTTCTTTACTTGTACTTGAAACACAGTGATTTGGTAATTTCATTTTCGGCTGTCTGTAGATTCATCCAGTAACTTTAAATGATACCCAGGCCCACACGTGTCCTGCAATGGCTCAACGGTGGTGTTTTTTTTCCCGGGCCCCATTGAGTACACATGTGGGCGGGGCTATAGTCTGGTGACCTGAATTGGCGTTTGACGCCTCTGGCTCCTGTGTCACTCTGTAGCCGAGTGATACAGCACATGAACGTGAACTGTGATTTGTCACGCTAATTATGTTCTCGTGGCAGACTAATTGACGAAGTAATTAGGCTGCAAGCACATGTTGCAAGGTGTTTGTGCTTTCCTCTATAGAGGCTGTGAGTTACATCTTTGCTTCATTCTATTTGGGGCCAATTGGTATTTTTTGACAATTCAGGCTACAGATGGTTAGTTTCGGCATAATTCAGTTTAATGAGAAGGTGCTTCTAGGTTGAAATTTGATTGTGACTGTTTTCTACCTGTATAAGATAGAGAGGAATCCGTGTGAAAATTGACAGTTTTTAAGTGCGTAAGGCTATCTCAGATTAGTGTGTGAAAGTTTGTGCTTCACACAGGCTTCCATTCGCTGACGTGCAAATGCAAGAAAATCAATGGCAATCTGGCAATCTGATTGCTTCGTCATTACTTGTTTGTGTGTGTGTGTGTGTGTGTGTGTGTGTGTGTGTCAGCACAGTGTGTGTGTGAGTGTGCACAGACATTTCTCCCGGTTTAAGGAAGTGCAGAGGCGTCACAGAAATGGCCCTGCTGTGGGCCGAGTCATATTCCTCTCTCTCTCTCGCTCTCTCTCTCGCTCTTTTCTATTTCTGTCGCTACAGAATCCGTCTTCAGTTTCTCTTTCTAGCCTCGATCCTGGAGAGTGACGGTCTGTTGGTTTCTCAGACCTTTCGCCCTCTCTTCCCCCTCCACTCCTTTTCCTATTCTTTGATCATAATCACATCTTCAGTAATTGGACCACTCCCTGGTCACACAATGGAGCATGGGGGTGTAGTTCTTTCGTGTGAGAGAGTGTGTGTGTGTGTGTCTATGCAGGCACTACTTGTGTCAAAACGGACCAGTGCACCTCTGCACTGGTGTTAGAACAACTCAAGCCATGCAGGGTTAATTAAGCCAATCGTGTTGTTGATTTAAGAACTTTAAGTTACCAGAAGTCAGCATTGGATGGTCACTACCTCCTCATATGGACAGGGCGCTGTGGCCTGCCCGTGTCCTCCACGTGGAGCTGCTTTGCTACCACAGCACGCTGCACAGCGTTTCTATTAAATAACACCATGATCTGGAACAGTCACGGTTATTAAGCAGCACTAATCCACCCAGCAACATGGCTTTGTACCCACTGCGAGCTGTTAACAAAGGACAGTCTTGGCAACTCAAAAAAAAATCTTAATTTAGACGCTTTTTTTGCAATTTCATTCACAAAATGATTACTTTTGGTGCGTGGGTGTTTTGGCTCAAACGCAACCTTTCACTGCTGCTGCTGGTGTGAAAGAGGAGTATGCTAATGAGACGAGTAATACAGAGGGTGGAGCAGGTGTCGCGGTGGGATTTTGGTCGCGTTTTGTGGTCAATTTGAGAGCTTGTAAGATGGAGGAGCAGGCCCGCGACGCCCGGTCGTCCTTTTAACTGCCAGCTAATGTGAATTTTGCTCCTTGACACTTCTGTGGGGGAAGGTAAGGGGGGGAGGCAGAGGGAGAGAACCACTTAACCAGGAAAAAGCCTCCACGTCGTGATCTCAGGGGAGCAGAGCTGGTTCTGACTGACAAGAGAGGAACGCATAAAGGGGAGGAGGAGCACGATTCCAATCTATAGTGCATTAGCCTCATACGCTCTTGTTAGCTTTTGACTTTTCGCTGATAATTATCCTGGGAATCTCTTCGGTCTGTCTGTACACCGTGGTCGTGGTTGAGTCCCCTCAAAGTACTCCGACACACTGCAAACAAATCTCACGTTCAAAAGACAATCTTCTGAGCTTGGGCGCCCTGTTGGAGCTCAGCAATGATTCACGCTCAGTCAGTCAGCTGGGAGCCGATCAGTGCAAGCACAGCTGTTGACCACAAGCAAGTACTGCTGGAACAAATGGGGGGGGAGACTGGCTGAAGAAGGAGGCTGTTTCTCTCGGCCAAGAAATCTCTCCGCAGGAATTCAACCTGTGAGAGCAAATGATGAAGTTTAATTTCTTCAGGGCTCGGACTATTGGTTGGACACTACAAGCAATTAAAAAATGGCACATTTGAAATTGTAATGGCCATTTTTCACTTTTGTTTGACATTCACAAAGCTATCAGTCTCTAATCTCAGTTTGCTCTCTCTCCCATACCCTTTAACAGAATCTGTGCATATCACTATTGTGAGCATCCGCATTTCATCTCTCTGTCCCTCTCTTTAGGAGATAAAGATGGCAGCAAGGTAACGACAGTCGTGGCCACCCCAGGCCAAGGCCCCGACCGGCCACAGGAGGTGAGCTACACGGACACTAAGGTCATTGGCAACGGCTCGTTTGGCGTCGTCTACCAGGCTAAACTCTGCGACTCCGGAGAGATGGTGGCCATCAAGAAAGTCCTGCAAGACAAGAGGTTTAAGGTAAAACAAACGCAATGCATCTCTCGGCTTCCGCAACTCTCTCACTTGTCAACGAAAAAGCAAGACGCTTCCGGACGGATAAAAGCCGCATCGATAAATAAGCATGCACTTGTACTCGTCCTTTTCCCCTTTAACAGCGTAACGTGTAATGACTGCGACTAAGTAACTGTGAAAGAGACATGAATGGAGTGATCCTTCACAAGAACAGTGAGATCAGCGAAGCCGCGAACAAAGAGAAAACAAAGGAGAAACTTCTTAGCGTTTCTCTATTTGGCACATCCTTGCTTTAACGCGTGTGTTTTCTTGCAGGAAGTGTCTGTGTGTGTGTGTGTGTGTGTGTGTGTGGTAGTGGTGGGAGAGTCTCTTTTTTATTTTATTTTTTATCTTTTTCATCATGTCATTCGTCAAGTCCACGCAGAGCTCTGTAGGAATTCCTTCCTGTGCTTTGAATAGATTTGACGGATGGCTTGTTGTTCCTTTGCTGGGGCGACAACGTCTGCGCTCCCTTTACTCTTGGCCGGTGGGGGGGGGGGGGGGCGGGGCGGGCCTCCGTGTCCTTGCTGCTTGCTTCCAGCTCGCAGATAAAAGACCTGAGACTGCCAAGCCTACAGGACAGCTGTTAAGATTCTCATTAAGTTCAGAGCTGAGGTTAATGGCTGCACAGTGCCTGCATCGGTCATATTCTTTTTTTTTTTTCCTGTGTAATACTGCATACATGCTCAGCACGTTATCAAACTGGGACCAGTGTTGAAATCATGTGTTTTGAACCTATTTGTTTGGTGCACCTAGCTTAAACTGATCTAATACATCAGCGCTGCAATGAATCCCACCTTCATTAAGGTTATATTATGAGAGTGGCCAACAATCATGTATATAAATGGGGTGGACAAATTACACATTAACACATTAACACATCTCACAATATTACACAATAATATATCGGCACCCCAAATACCAGCTGTGTGTGTGTGTATGTGTATATGTATGTATGTGTGTATGTGTATATATATATATATGTGTGTATATATATATATATGTGTGTATATATATATATATGTGTATATATATATATATATATATATCTATATATCTCTCTAACCTTGAAAAAAAGAAAAAAGCCAGGACAAAGATGTTTGTGAATGTTACGTCCTGGGTCACATTGATCCCTTCTATACACGCAACATTTTAGTTTGTTGTGTCTATATCCCACATTCCCTGGCTTTCACAGACCAAGGCACAGCATATAAAGCCAAAGTACACAGTTAAGATGACGCAATACAACGTGTGACTAAAATGATTTCCATTATGTGAGCGGTAAAAAGCCTACACACTGTGACTCTGTGATTGTGGGTCATTTACACATCTTGTAGTTATAATAGAGGAGATAAGACTTTGGTAAGAGGCACCTTTTTTAAAGGATGTGGTTTGATTGTTTGGGGAAAAAGGCTTTCTCACTTTTTCACTGAGACTTCGATGAGGGGATCGATACCACTCATGTGTGTCCAGTATTTATGAAGCTGCAGCCACTAGCTCAGCTTAGCACAAAGACTGTAAACGGAGGGAAAAGCCACCTCGCTCCATACGTAACAGAATTCCCCTACCAGCAACTACTATTTCCCCGTGTTTGTGCTGAGTTAAGCTAACCGGCCAATGGTGGGCCGGCTAATATTTACTGCACAGACATGAGAGTGCCATAAATCTCCCAACTATCAGAAAGAAGTAGACTAGCTTAGGCTATGAATGCTGTTATATGTGGTATATTTGTCCCTATTGAGATACTCACTGAATAAAAAGTTTATCAATGGATTATTTGATTTTTAATGGGTAAGACGGAGCTAGTCTATTGATTCACCATCCCTCCGCTATGAGGGTAGTGCTCATTATTTTCTATCTATTGTGTATCTCAGGGTGCGTTACGTGAGAGGACAAGGACAGTGAAGGCAGGACGAGCTTAGGTGTCCCTGTACCTCCAGCTCCCGTGAGAGTCACTCAAGGATGTGTTCGCCCTTCAGCAACCAGTTCAGCTGAATACTTCAGCAGCTCAGTGCCCTCAGGTCTAACCTTTTTTGGAGGATCAGCACAGTTCTTCACTATCCAAAACCAGACAAGGTGCATGATGTCCCCTTTTTTTTTTTTTTTTTAGTGGTGTCCACCATCTATCACAAAATCCACATTTGTCCGGGACACAAACTATTTGTGACTCTGCATGCTGGCCACGATAAAGTCCTATCCTGCTTTTCCTGTAAACCTGTGGTTAGCAGGACACGCTAGCAGATGGCTTCTTGACACAATGCTCAGCTGAAGATCACCCACATTGTTCTCTTCGTTTAGTGTTAAATCTCCTCCTCAGAGCAGAGCCGCTACGTCAGCCGTCTGTCTTCTCTTCTGTCTCGTGGCTTCTACTCGCCTGGCCGGTCCTTCACTGCGAACAGCTTGTTATAAAAAAATGAGGCAAAAGAGCGCTAAGACTCCTCACATGACTGCCAAGCACGCGCCAGTAAGTGTGTGTAACCCCCCGACACACACATATACAAACACCTGCGTTCTATTTTCTCCTTATTCCTTCTCCTCTTCAAAAGTTTTCTCTCTACACTTCTGCTTTTTTTTTGTTTGATGTGGTGTTCATCTGAGAAGTGAGCCTGTGTTAACGGAACCATACCAGTCCAACATGAATGCTTTATCTTCTCACACACACATACACACACGCATACACATACATTTCACGAGTCAAACAGGGGAATCATTTGAATAGGCTCTGTATTAGGATGGAGATGATGAATATGTAAGGCAACCTTGGTGGGCTTACAATATGCTCCTGGTGCATTATGGGATAGGTCCTCCACTCCCATCAGAGGGATCCTATATCATTCTGTTGGAAAATGGATGATCACGCATACACACGTATGGTAATGGTACGTACACAACATTGTTAAAGGATGAATCTGGTGATTCTCTGTGTTTTCATTGTATTTGTGACATACAAGTATTGTTTTGGCAGTCGAAGCCTGCTGTAGCTTATCCCTCCGCGTCATAAACCCATCATTGAGCCACATTGTTTCACGGGGCGACATGTTTCAATACAATGAAGATGGACACAATCGCACATACACCACCCTGCTACTGTGATTACTCACCGGAGACACAAATGTGTATATATATCTGCCGCTTTTCCCAATAAATGCACAATTTACATTTGTTTTTATTAACTTTGGCTAAGTTAAGTTATTTGTAATCCCTTTATTAAAGAGTCCATAAACTGTTACCAAAGGGTGTGTGTGTGTGTGTGTGTGTGTGTGTGTGTGTGTGTGTGTGTGTGTGTGTGTGTGTGTGTGTGACAGTAAACATCAGCACCTCCAAGGTGTAGCACCTCTAGCAACCTGAAATTGAGGTGTTCTCTCTCTCTCTTTCTGTCTGCTGGCTGGCGCTGCCGGCCGGTCAGCAGGAATGACTGCAGTATAAGTGGAGCAGCTGGGCAGGGCTGCTCATCAGCCTGTCTGCTCCTCCTCCTCCATGTGGTACCATCTTTCTCACATACAACACAGGCACAGCGTCAAACACTCCCACTGAGCCACTGCAAGAAGACGAGGGCGTTGCCTTCGATGGCTGGTCCGTGACCCACACGCTATGATGTCACTTTAAGACGTGTGTGTGTGTGTGTGTGTGTGTGTGTGGGTGGATCCTATTTGTGTGAAGGGTGAAAAAGCATAGAGAGGGGACTGTGGGAACCATTTGTTTCTGCCTCTAAGTGAATTAGACTGGGGTGATTGTCTATACCAGGCCATTGAGCTGGAAGATGCTGCTGCTGAGATGGTGAGGTCTTGCTTTAGTGGACAGACGACTCACTCTGCTCTGTTAAAAAATGAATGAGAGGGGATTAAATCCTCATAAAGTGGCATAAAAGTGTGGAAGGACAGCAGCTTATCACCCTGCACCAGTCAGCATGTCCCTGATCACCATACCGGGGGATCTCATTAGTCACCCAGTCAGTCAGCTAGCACAGTTCTTCACTATGTTTTGTCATCCTTATTCAGACGGTTCCGGCTCATCAGGCAAACTCTCAACCTGCTGTATGTCTCAAAGCTGTAGAGCGGAAGCATTTAGCCAATTCATTGATTATAGTTATGATATTATGTCATTTTAAAGCAAAATGTACTTCTTAAATGTGGATATTTGCTGGTTTTCTTTTCTTTGGTTATGACTGTCTTTGTTTGTAAGATAGAAAAAGCAATTTCAAGACATCACCTTTTAACTCGTGATGACATCGTCTTTGTATTGTCATTATTTTAAAGTCCCAACTATCGATCAAGTTTATTATCTTTAATTGTTCCATCTACAAAATTCCAGATAGTGGTGCAAAATGTACTAAAGCCCAAGGTGGCGTCTTCAAATGTCAGAACAGCCCAACAGTTAACTGTCAAATCAGAAGAAATAATCCCTCACTAGAGGCTGGAGCTAGGCCTGAACAATGACGTGATTATCAAAAGAGACAATCATTTCAGCTCTAAAGGGCGAACACATCCGAGTTAACTTTGAATAAACTTCCACGTCCTCCAGTATCTGAACAAATGCACTTTAACATTTCACGCTTAGAGGTTGATGGGCTTTCAGTCAGTCAAGGCAGCTCATGAGCTGCTCTCCTTTTACACCTGTTCCCCAGCACAGGTCCGACCTGTGTGCTATTTATTTTTTGTTTACACCAAACCTGAAGCCTGTGTTTACACAAACAGCGTATCGGGTCACTGCTCTGTGCTCAGCTAGTTAATCGCTCATCCCGTAAGAGCACCGCTGACCCTTCTCCACTACTGGTCAGTCACTCTGTCTGTTTAATTCTACAACGGAAGCTTCTCGATTGATGTCGGCTGTATGCTGGTTACTTTTTGGTTGTATACATTGTTTGTATTCGGCATGTACACACCTTGATGTTTACAGAAATGGTTAATCCAAAATACCAAATATGAAAAACCTGGAAATTATAGTTCCATATTATGCGGATTTAACATTTATGCAAATAAGAGCGACAAGCGAGGATTTATTTTATGTAAATCCTACATCCTGACATCCTTGCTGTAATAGTCTCATTCAGAATACTACTATGCAAGTCATTGCGGTTAGTGTGGGGGCTTCGGGCAGTTATAGTACAAAACCCCCCATTCTACTATTCAAGCCGCTCAAAATCTCAACCATAATGAAGCCGTTATAGCTTTATGTAATGCTTGAGTTCCTGCCCTCCCTTGATAATGTTGACGTCCATATGCACAACCATGTTCTGCATGGACACACTGTATATGACTACAGATGGAGCGCTCTACCAGGGTCCAGTGCTTACATCTTGTTCCAGTGGCCCCGTGAGGGCCTGTAACTCGTCGTCACACTACAGGCCCCCAAGGCAACTGTGACTTTAACGTATTTATTTCTCACATCTTTTCCTCAGACGTGTCCTGTTTTCGAGGGGCTTTTTTTCTTCTCTTTAATTGTTGCTTCCTTTGATGAGAACAGGAAACATGCCACACAATACATAATTGTGTCATCACGTTTCAGCCCCATGGGATTTATTCCACCGTGAAGGGATGAATGTCAATTTCTTTTCTCCATTTATCAGCTTTCTTTTGCTGCTACCACATCCAATTTTCTTGAGCTTGTGACAGTGATGTGGCTGACAACGAGGTGACTGTTTCAAAAATGCTTGGTGGTATATGTGTACCACATGTAACTAACATGTCACTATCATGTAATGTCTAACTTCCTACTGGACTGTCGGTCCACTCGAAAGTGTTCAGGGTCTCCTAAAGGTCCGCAGACTCTCTTCTTGAACCATGAGCCTGAATCTTGCATGCAATATGAAAACTGTAACGTGTCATTCCTGTTTTTATTTTGTGCAGAACCGTGAGCTGCAGATCATGAGGAAGTTGGACCACTGCAACATAGTCCGCTTGCGCTACTTCTTCTACTCCAGTGGAGACAAGGTCAGTCGGCTGAGTGTGTCTGTTTGTCTCTGGACTGCATTATTGATTATATGTTTAATACTGCTCTGCAATGTAAGCGTCAATAAATAGAATATTTCATTTAAGTACAAATTTCTTTCATTTTCAATAGCACCATAAGGTTGCCTGGAGTGTTTTAATGACTCAGCGGAGTTATGAAATAATTCAGCTTTCTCCCATGTTCAAGACCTAGTGTCATGATTAATAATCCCAATAATAAATAACGCTAGCGTTTATGCCATAGCTGTTCAGACAGTCTTTTTTATTTTTTCTGGGAATTTTCTGCCTCTTTTAGACTTTTTTAAATTTATTTAAAATTTTGCTGTGTTGGCTTTTGAACTCTCTTCCTGTCAGCTGCACCCTTTTATGTCGTCCTCTTGGCCTCGATAGGGAAGTCCCTCTGTCTGCCTCTCTCTGTCGGCCATTGGAGGTCTCCTGGAGACTACAAGGCTGGGCTATGTCATATCAACCAGCTGAAAAACAGGCAGAGGTCCATGTGTCAAATATAGACACGAACCTGGCAGACGAGCTGTTGGGACTATACCCATGACTCTGCAGTTAGGAATTCTTCCATGTTGCACACCTACCGAGGCCAAGGAAAGCTGTGGGGGATTATAGAAGGGAGGTAATGATGTGGGTGGGTGGGAGGAGAGATGACTGAGTGATGGTAAGGGAACATCTATTTGCCAGAGGGTGTCGGTTTATTATAGAATCCCCCCCCCCCCTCCTCCCATCCATGCTCTTTAGCCCCACCTCATGCCATGTTGTCACTGACCTCTGGGAATCTCAGCTGATTTCTTGGTATACTGACAGCTGTGACTTGACCCTGCAGCTTTCCCATCATGACTTTTGCAATCACAGGAATTGTTATTTTGATAACCCACAACTATCATCCATCTCTTTTATTACTTTCACCTTTACACCTTTTAAATCCCCCCCCACTCCCGTGTGTCCTCCTTTCATGTATCCATTTCTGCTCCCTCCTCCTGTTCCCCCTCACCACATCACTCCAGGCTAATTTTGGAGACTGGCACTGTGTTGTTGGTATGGGGATTTACCACCCAGAGCCTTGACTTAGAAAAGAGAGGGTAGGCGGGGGGGGGCAGAAGTAGGCGAAAGGTAAATCACCTGGATAGGGGAGCTTAGCGGATGGATGGAGAGTTACAGATGTTGGCAGAGGGTGAGGCAGAGATGAGATGTGGTCAGGTGTGTGTGTGTGTGTGTGTGTGTGTGTGTGTGTGTGTGTGTGTGTG